ATGTTTATACCATATGTCTTTTTTCTATACTTAAAGCGCGTTTGTTATGTATTTATTCATTACTTAAAATTATAGATGGTTTTGAGTAAATAATGTATAAATCGATCATAAAAAAATGTATTGCGATAAATTATTTATAAGGTTGTATATTTTTTATTATTATTATTTTGAAACAGAACCCACTTCTATAAGTTCAATTAATTCCAAGATACCCTATATTGATTGCATATCTAATGATATTTGTACGGAAATGTCAGTTCCAATAATAGTAAGTGCACACAAGCAACAAAAAAACATTCAAAATAGATGTTTTTGTTTGTATACTCGACTGCAAACGACATGCACAACGGAATGTTATCCATTTTCATCTTAAAAAAAGACCAATTTAATTTTCTTCGCCAAACATTAATTCAGTTTAAATAGTAAATATTAATTTAATATAATCTTTTTACGACCAAAAAATTTCTTCTCTTTGACAATAACTAACAATACAATTTTAAAAGCAATTATAAAGTCTCCTAACTGTTAATAAGTTTTAAGATTATATATTTTGTTAATTATTATATTTTAGGTACCTACATAAAATTGTCGTATACGCCGATCAAATCGTCCGTATAAATACAAATACACCACTTGAATTAAATGAATACTCAATAAAATGCATATGTTCCCTATGGTGGTCGAGTCACACAACTACCACAGAAGCAAGGATGTTCGCAAGGGGGGCAAGTAGGGGCATCTGCCCCTCTTGACTTTTTTATGGATCAATTATCACAAACATTATTTAGTATAAAATATCACAAAATGAATATTTTTTTTAGTTAAAAACATTTTTTAAAACGTATGAAGAAAACTAAATTAATAATTAAAAACACAGAACTTATGCGCAACCGTTAAACACGGCGGTCGTAATGTGTTAGTATGGTGGTGTATCTGGATGCATGAATGCATCTGGAGTAGGAAATTTAGTGTTTATAGATGGTATAATGGATCAATACATTTATTTAGATATTTTAAAAAATAATTTAAAAAGTAGTGTGGACAAATTGAGCTTGAGAAGTTCATTTATCTTTAAACAAGATAATGTTCTAAAACACACGGGAAAACGTGTTAAAGAATGGTTGATACATAATGTTCCTCAACAACTTCATACGCCACCACAGTTACCAGATATGAACCTTATCGAACATCTATGGAATGAAATAGGAAGAAAAATTAGAATACATAATGTTCGAAATAAGTAGCAGTTGGATAATACAATTTTAACTGAATGGAATGCGATTGACCCGGAAATCGCTAAAAAAAATAGTCAATAGTATTAAGAATCGTTTGATTGATGTTATTAAAGCAAGAGATAGTAAATACACGTTATTAATTAAAGAATGAAAACTCACCAAGTTAATAAATTATAAATGGGAAACTTTTTGGTGTATTGTTTATTTAAATACTTCTAATTTGTTATTTATTAAAATCATATGTTAATTAAAAAATAGTTTATTTTATTGAAATATAAAATATGTATGCTAAATTAATTTATGGTACGATTACCAACTCCACATAGGTATTTTGGACTTTTCAAAATATTTATAAAACCTTTTTTTGAAAAGAGATGTATGGAAACTTTTTTGACTGAGTATATAATAACAGTCAAGCACTGGATATGGTATGTAACACTCAGCATTAATATTTGTTTTTAAGCGGTATTGTAAGACGTGCTCGATATATAATCAGTGTTGCCAGACGTACGGACGCAGTTGGGGGCATACGGTAATTCTATTATGTGTACGGTATGCGGACGGATGAATAAAAACGATGATACAAGATACGGTAATTTGAATTGTTTCCAATTACTATAAAAATAAAAATAATAAAAATAAAAACCATTTAAAAATATGCTAGTTTTATATTAAAAGTTCTAAGCTTACCTCATTCTTCAATTGATTGCGAGAGGGTGTTTTCATAAATTAATTTAATAAAAATCAAATTTAGAAATAAACTAAGTACTAAAACAGTTAACAGTTTGCTCTTAGCAAGTGAACACATGAATCAAAGAACTAGTCGAATAAAATTTGAACCAACAAGAGCAATAAGCTCAATGACCAAACATATTTATGAAAAACAAGAAATTACCAAAGAAACAGACATTCAAGGTAATTTGGACATTTTACAAAAATAAAATATTGGACTATTTTTATGAACTAATGTGATTATATAAATGTTTTTGTTTCTTGGGGAAAATAATATAGGTAAGTACAATAATTACACTTCTGATACGGACATTTTAATCATATTCCCCTAACCGTAGTTATTATAGATCTAGCAACACTGTATATAATTTCAGTCAGTTTCAGTCGTACAATAACCAACATAAAGGGCAGACTAAGATTTTTATTAGTGATGGACATAATTGAGACATTTTTATAATCGAGAGATGTCTCGAAATAGTCATTCGAAATATTAATAATCGAGATACGTGATTAGTGATGGGCATAATCGAATGATTTCAACAATCGAAATATTAGTAATCGATATATTTTTATAATCACGAGATGTCTCGAAATAATCTTTCGAAATGTTGCATTGAAATATAATATATAAATATAAATATAATATGATTTTATTTATAAACGTTCTGAAAAATTGTTGTTGTTTTGTGGTTGAGTAATTCAAAAATTATAGCTATATATTTATGTCAAACTTTAAAATATAAATAGCTAAGATTAACCGTATACCCATCAATATTTGTCTAACAACCAGTCCCACGCGTAGCACGAGTCGTAAATACAAAGACTCAAAGTGAACAACTAGTATTAACTTACTCTATTATGAAGATTAAAAATAATATTCCTCCCTCACTCCTTCGTTCCATGAAAATTATTCGAAATATTTTTTCATTTCGATACACATTTCGAGATCAAGAATCGATTGTTTTTAAAATAAACGAAATATCACTCGAAATAATCTATGGGGTATATAATCGAATTATTATTTTGATAATCAAGATATCTCGATTATTTTCATAATAAAGATATCTTGATTGTATATCTCGATTACGCTCTATCACTAATTTTTATACTGTAATCCGTGACTCAAAATATAATACGTAATATTATTATTTTTAACTAATACTCCCAATGTGTTATTATTAATAATTACTATCTAAAACCATGTACTCGTATTTTCCTTCGTTCGTTCCCGAAATTGCGAATTCAAAACGTTACGTAGTGCCAGGGGCGGATTGACCTATCGGGAAATCGGGAATCTTCCCGATAAGCCGCTCTATATTATGATATAATTACCAAAAAAAAGTTTTATTTTGTAAAATAAATAAAAAACATTAAAAAAATAAATACATAGGTATTTAAAGATGCATTTACATCAAACTTCAAGTTCAAGTTCGAACTGATTAATGATGTGACTTACCCAAAACTATTATAGCTATAATTATAGTAAAGTTATTGTAGATTTTACTAATTTAGAGGTGAAACTAAACAAATTTTGAAATGGATGCAAAGCATTTTTTTGGGAGGGAGGGTAAAATTGTTTAATTTGCGGTTCATGGGCTGGTTTGTTTCATACTTCCTGAACCGAAAAAAATTGCCAATCCGCCCCTGCGTAGTGCCAACGAACTTTACCGATTGACGCACACACAACATACAGCTAGATAAAAATACGATGGACAATAACATTGATTGCAATAGCAACAAGGACCATTATAATATTAAATAAATATAACCGTCCAAATATGCGACACATCTACTCACATGGTTGATCGCGGAATATGACAAACACGGCGACAGGAACGCGAGCCGGTTGCAACGTGGTCAAGGCCCAACTGGATCCGATCCGGCCGGAACACTTCGCCCATGAAGTGGACGTACCGCCGCAATGGAACAAATCACCACGCGTATAATATAGGATGAATGGTGGTGCGCGCACATAAACGTGGTTCGCAGTTAGCAAGCCGCCCGACGAGAGGTACATCGGCACTTACCATTGCCCGAAATATTCGCATGGTAGCGATGGCACACTCACGGCCCGAACGCACAAGCGATATAAAAAAATTAAATAAAAAATAAAAAGGCAACGATTCGACGTCCCGGCGATCTGCCGCCATGGAACCCACAATCGAATGGCTAGGTAAAACGTACGACGCCAACGATTAACACTGCGATGTCCGACCAACAATGATGGCAGCATCACGGAGTATAGATAATTTTCACGGCGACAACGTTGCAATGGCTCGTGAACTTTTTTATAGACGTAACGGGGAGGTGAAACTTGTTCGAAAACGTTCGACGCCCGCCGCGACATCGGGCCAACTTGGATAGGCGTTCAAACAACAATAATGCAACAAATAATCAGGCAACCAAGATGGGGCTCTAGCCCTCCCAGAAAAAATTTCAGCTCCCTGCAAGCTCCCCCTCTTGAAAAATTTGTATGATATAATAAAATCATATAACAATATTTTTAAAATGTACAAATTAAATTTTAAACTCTTTGAATAATTGCGATAGTTTATGAAGTTGTTAGATAAAAATGGATTAAAAAAAAAAAAAAATTACGAGGTACACATAAATATAAGTGTATGTGGGTTTGCAATTGTTATAAATCGAACAATGTAACTACTGTGACGTACTGTTATTAATTATTTGATAATATTCTTATATCGTATGTATTAGTTTTCAGACGTATTTACATGCATTTCGTTCGGTGAAAACGAGTTTTTAAACGATGAAAAAAGTATTTTATTTTGATATACTTTCATTAAAAAAAAAAAAATAAAATAGTTAAAAAAAATAACCGTCAAGTTCGTTAAAAATATAGTTTCTACCGTATGCGTATGTGTATACTACAAAGTACATCTGTACGTTTACTCGCCGCCACGGCGTACAAGGGTTGCGCGCGCCGGCCCGTCTGCTCGTGGCCGCGCCGGGAGTGGCGGCGTGTCGGCGGCGGCGGCGGCGGCGGCGGCGGCGACGACGGCGAACGTTTCGCCGGCGGCGGAAGTCACTGGCCCGACGTTGTCCGGACCGGAAGTGCTGCAACGCACACACCGCACGCAGAACCGTGGGCGCGCGCGCGCGCTCGTGTGCTTTAACACTCGACGCCGACCGTTTACGACGCACGCGGGTACGCAACATTTCACGTACACGTACGGCTCGCGTGACGGACGACACTCGACCGCGGTCGGATCGCGTGCGGAACACGTCGCCGTTCGCGATTTCTCCTCGCTTCCCGGTCGTCGAACGCGCAACAATTTAATAAACTCGACCGACCCCACCGCGGACGTCGCGTCCAAATGTTTACAAAAATATCTATTCATCGTTACCGGCGGCCGGTTAGTGACTGACCAGCGGTACCAGTTGGTATTGCATAGCGGGTAGTACGTGCGGTAGCTGCGTACGGTATACGGTTATGGGTAGTGTTGCGGCGGTAGAATAACCGCAGCGCGTTCGAGTCTCGATATCGTGGCGTAGCGGTTTTACGTTGTCTTGCGGTTCGATTACGTTCGTTGTTTGTTGCGTTTATTGTTACGGAGGGGCAGTGCGGCCCACGGCGTGTTATCGTGTCGGAACGGCACTGCGTGGGTGCATTAGCGGCCGTTGGGCCGTTTTTTCGTGCGGGCAAATAAGAACGAAAAAAATCAAACGTAACGACCGTTTCCGGACGGAAAGTGTACGAATCACCGCATTGCCCGTCAGAAGTCGCGGACGGATACACGGTGCAGGGATCGCGTGATCGCGGGTCCCGCGACCGACGGCAACCTGTCCGTGGCCGGTAGAAGAACGCCGGGCGAAGGATCGAGGACCGGAGAAGGCGCGAACCGTGTGCTCATCATGTCCAGGAGGAAACAGGCCACGCCGCGTTCGCTCAGACGTGAGTACCAAACCTATTTGTTCGTGTCCGTAAGATCACCGCAGCAACACCACTCTACGCGAGCGCCCGTACACCTCTAATAGCCTTCGTAAGGAACTGTACCGCGAGAAGATTAGTAGTATCACGCGTTAGTTTTGGGGCATCATTTATTAGCTCGGAACATGCGACTCTGGCACTCGTGTGCAATATTACATGTACTCACATATACACATGTGTATGTGTGTATATATATATATATATATATTCGCACCCTTGTGAAGTCAAGAATCGCGAAAATAATAGCGGAATTCCTGGATTGAGTGTAAAGTAAAGCGAAGCGAATCCCGAAAAATAATACGCATGGTCGTACCCAACCGATCCCATTATCTCTTTTTATAACAGATAAAAAATCGAATCGTAAACAACTATAGAACTTTTAGATTCTGAATGAAACGAGGAATACATTGACTTGATCCTTACGTGTTATTTTTTATAATTTTTTTTTGTGTCTGTCTACACGATTTCCATCAGATGGATTGCTTTGATCATCACAATCTTAAAACATTTCTGATAGGAAATATTGTTTAGTTGGTACACTAATAAGTATCATTTTACCAATTCCTCATAAGTTTTTTTAATAATTGTGAAAAACTGATGGAAAGTTATAAAAAATGTCAACATTTATGGTTTACCGGTTTTTCACAAAATCGAATTTTGGTTTTCACTCAAAATATAATAATTGCGGACACTATTACTGAATGCTTATATTACTATTTGCTATAGATTTTTACTAAGGCTTGAGAATTAGGTGTACAATTTTTTCATAAGATTTTTATTTTTAGTCAAAAAAAGTACTAGAAAGCCGAAAAAACGATTTATAAGCGTTAAAAAATAAACTTTCTTTGTTGAAATTGGATAATTCAATGAATTTCCATTAAATGGTATTAATTATTTAGTTAAAGACTGATGTATTTTTAAGAAAACATGATCTCATCGTTTACATTACAAAAAATTAAAAGAGGTACACTGAAATATTTTGCAAGAAACAAAAATAAATTCAGAAATTCTTTGCATACTTCTAACAATTCAAACATCATCCTATAGTATAAATGCTTCAATAGGAAAATTTCAATCTATATTTTTGAAAAAACAATGTTGGAACACGGGTATTTGTTGTTACCGTGTAAGTGGACTTTTCTTTCTGAAGGTTGAGAATACGTACGAGTACAAAAAAAAAAATGAATTAATATTTAAAATAGTTTTATTTACTGTATATTTAGCCAAATTAGAATGTATAATGATTTCTGAGAGGCATTTGCTCTATTACCCATCTTATAATTAGCCACTGTGATATTATGATGTCATAGTATAATATACTTATTAAATTATATCTAATAGATAACATATCTAACAGATAAATCTGTTTATAGTTCAATGGCACGTATTCACATGCTTTACATTTTTATAAGTTCTAGACTTAAATGAATTTATAAGTGAAAAATGTATGAAATATTCTTATTAACTTACTTCTGAAAATTGTTATCAATATCGTTAAACAACAAAAATATCTTTTGAAAAAAATGTTTTTTAATCAAAGGAAATTATAAATTGTATTGCCTATTGGTGGATTTTATTATTTAGCTATTGAAGTTATTAGGTAAAAAAAATTATTAATTAACAGCTCCTTCGACATAGCAATAACGAAACAAACTTTATGGGTGCAAGCATAAATCTTGGAGGTTAGTTCTCTCAGCACCTATGGTATTATAATATTTTATACATTACTCATAATGTACGTATATGATCGGGATTTTAAGAAGAGTTGAATTTTGGGTAATTTTGGTGAAAAAATGTGTTGTGAGGTCTATGGGTGAGTCTTTTTACGGAACTGAACAATCATAAGCTATATTCAAACGGCCATTACATATATAAAATTTATTATTAATTGTTGATGACCTAGTGTTATAAATTTTACTAACTGGATACATTTTATTGTTCAAAATTGTTGCTGCCACACTGATGATAGTTATACTTGTTTATTAATTCATAATGTTAAGAAAAAATATAAATGTTAAAAACAAATACTACTCATAATTTAGCTGTTATCAACTTGAGTGATGGAAATTTATATAGAGATTCTCCCCGATCCTTTTTTGTGACTCTAATATGGTTTTTATATTCTGTTGGAAAATAGTTCATTTGGTATGATTATTTCATCAACCATCAACCTTGTGGTATTGTTTAACAGAATTATATAATTTAGGACTATTTTATATTTGGATAGTTAAAACCTCATAATCGAATTTTTTTATAAATAATAATTACTATTCGTAAATCAAGGTTTTAATTTATCAGTTAAACTGTGTTCATGAAAGTTAAACATTGGGGGATTTTCTAATTCAAGTGATTAATTATAATCATAAAAAAATAAAAATATGATACTTAGAGTTATTTTATATTTATTTTTTTTACAATGATTATTATCCTTTTTGTTGTCTAAGGAATTCAAAGTTACTGTTCAATAAAATGTTAGTGGTTATTTTTACAGAATTGTTAATTTATATTCGCCGAGGGTCGATTTGCTTGCAAATGATGTACATAATATGAACAGTACACAAAGCGGATTTGTACGTGCTAAACTAATGATATGAAATTAATTTGTTTGAAAACATAACATCTATTAGTATTATATTGATAGTTATATTGGGATACATATTTCATTTTTTGTTTATTTCTTATCATAAAAAGAAAAAAAGTGCACATTTATAATATAAATTTTAAAGTATTATACCTATAAATATATTTAAATATTGAATAATTAAAGGAATTAGATTAAATCAATAAATTTATTTATCAATACATTTTTCAATATTTTTTAATCATTTTTATTTCATTTTTCATATTCACGTAGAACAATATTTTGAATTTTGAAATCATAATTAGATGAACATTTAGAATAATATAACTACGACAACTCCTCTTATGAATTAATTATTATAAAATGTATGAAAACTACTCTCATAAGACTATTTTAGATGCATGCCACTGGTTTTCATTTATAGTTAATACGTACATATAAGGTGTATCTGTTTGCTATAAAATGCCACTTGTGTTCTTGTAAACGTAAAGTGCTCGAGCTTTTTAGATACATATACACATCCACTTTATATAATTACCATATATACATATTTTTAATTTTAAACTTTACAGGACGGATGTTTATTTTGTTGTGTATTTACTAGTGGCATACACAGGGTATTTATTTTGCAGATAATCGATTTTTGTAAGAATTCAAAAAGATATGTACGCCTGTTTGTTATAAATAATTTTTGTTTTAGAGTTATATTTTGAGCTACGATTTTGAGATCATTGGCAATACACACGGCTTCCATATTTCTAAACTCGAAATAGCATTCATAGTAATAATATTATGGTACATAATAATGTTATTAATTAATAATTACTATTATATCGACATAAACATAACCATTTAGTAATCGCAGAAACATGTTCAAAAATAATAATTAAAATATGAATATTTTACACTCGTAAATAATTATTTGGAAAAGATTTTGTGTAGGAAGACGCTTTAAATTGTCTTTTGAGTACGTTATTTGCGACTTTTAGTGTATTACATCTGTGCGATATTTTGACTAACTTATATTGTATTATATTAGTCTCAATAAATATATTTTTCTTAATCTCGTTTATTTTTCTCAGATAGTTTCAATTATTAATTTGTACTTTTATAGTCAATTGTAGCTGTTATATTATCATAATAAGTTTTTGCACGAAAAATTAAAACATATTATTTTATTTTTTCTATTATTTTTTACTTAACATTTTAGAATAAATTACATTTAATTTAAGAAACATCAAAAAAATATAAGCCTCTTATTTATAGATTTAAACTGTAGGGCCCCATTTACAAAATTTCGGATGAAGCCCAGACAAACCCGTAACCTCCCGTGAGCATGCCTATGGGTCTCACACATGATGACAATTTATTTGTTAGTGCGTATTTACCAAGTATTAATAATACTTTAAATATAGACGTAGATATACGTATCTATATGTTTGTGTGTGTGTGCGTGCGTGCGTGCGCTTTTTTAATATTCAGTAGTTTAAATGAATTTACAAGTAGGTACTTAAAGTTTATAGATGAATTTTGTTTACTGATAAAATTTTAGAGTTGATCGGACAGAGATTCAGATGGATTAAACGGCAGTACTATTATACTTATCCGATGTATCGATAGAGAATCGAAAATACGGAAGAGAATTTATACTTCGTTAAACCAAACTGTTGCAGCTTTTCCGTTAATTATTCTTATAGAAATAATTGATTACAATCGACAAAAACGAGTAAATTTTAGTTAAACATTTTAAAAAAAAAAAAACATATTTTTTTTGAACGATAAAATTGATTATTCATCGCAATATTTTTGTATAACATACGCCAGTATGTTCACGAACGGATTTCATAAAATGTTGAAAAGTCGTATATAGTATATGCAATTCTATAGAATATAGAGTAGTATTATCATTCAATGGATAACAATATAACATTAGTAAAGTATGGCGAATGAGAAATAATGCAGTTTACATCAAATGATCATTTATTATTAATGTTATGGCTTCTGTGAATTATTTTTGAAGCACAAATATCCAATGCCCTGAAAAGAAAGGTTATTTGGAGAAGGAGTTTTTGTAAAAAATTAATATAGTTTTGTATTCTAGTTATTGAGTTGGCTAAAAATGTATGGGATATTTAGTTGTAGACTTGTAGATATTTATATGCTAGGTATTACTTTTCTACCCGAGTATGAATGGATAAGATATTATATAAAAAATATAATTATCTTGTACTTAAGAGCAAAGTATACAAAAATGTGGCTTTGAGTTATAAATCAATATGGTTTCAATTAAATGAAATAGAACATAGGTAAATACTAATCTACTCGTGTTATGAAATGACCTTAATTTTTTTTCTATACAAATAGTTCATCATGTGAAAGTAGA